CCCCCCCCCCCCCCCCTCACTTTTTCAGATATTAACGACTGCATCAACAACCTCTGTGGAAACGGAGGGACCTGCATTGATGGAGTGAACTCCTTTCAGTGCTTCTGTCCTGATGGCTGGGAGGGTCGACTGTGCGACCTCAGTGAGTCCCTCTGCAACTATGCAGAATCTATCGATGCAGAGTTTAGATTTAAAAAAAGAGCATGCCTGCCTGTGGTAGCGCTTCAGCCTACTCTGGTTCAGATTTCTTTGCACTAAATAACAGACGGTTTGGGCAAAGATCTAACCGCTCTTCCTCCGTCCTCCAGACGTCAATGAGTGCAGACACAACCCGTGTAAGAATGGCGGCCGCTGCGTCGACCTGGTGAACGACTTCTACTGCGAGTGTGCCGACAACTGGAAGGGCAAGACCTGCCATTCCCGTGAGTTATGGCGACTCTCTGTTAATGTGTGTGTTCATATTCATAGCTTGCTGTGACCCCGACTCCAACATGGCTGACACGCGTTTGTGTGTTGGAGCATGAGAATTATTCTTTCTCACTGATGCTATGAATAGTCATACGAAGATAGTGTGTGTGTGTGTGTGTGTGACCTCAGTGTTTCTCTGTAATCCTGGTCAGGCGAGAGTCAGTGTGATGCAACCACCTGCAGTAACGGAGGCACCTGCTACGACCACGGGGATGCCTTCCGCTGTGCCTGCCCACCTGGTTGGGGAGGAAACGCATGCAACACAGGTGAGGCCTCGGGATGGCGACTGTCTCTGAACATATTTGAATCAGCTGTGTTTCAGATGTCTGGAACCAGGCTAATTTAGCCTATTAGATTCTGAAACTGCATTGACAGCCAGAATAATATAAAAGGTATATTTAAGGATACAGTCAAAGTTTGGCGATTAAATCCATTCAGATTAAAGGCTTACCACTTTCCCATATATAAATAAATATATGTCAAACAATCCTTGAGGGTCATAAGTTGCCGACATTGACTGTACAAGGGCTGCACGATTATGGCCAAAATGATAATCACGATTATCTTTAATCAATATTAACATCACGATTATTCGATTCTTTTTTTTTTTTTTTTTTTTTTTTTTGTTTGTTTTTGAGAGTAAATATTTTTATTTCACATTTAAATAAACGGAACACTGTTTTCAATTCCAGGACTTTGAGGCGCAGTCCAGAGAAATAATTCGGGAAATATTCAAGAATAATTGATGATCAATTTGAGTTTTAGTTTCAGGTTGTATTGCCAAAACACTGTAATATGTGATTTATTGTCCAAGTATGCTGTTCATACCATTTTCTGTTTATAAGATCTGTGATCTCTGACTAATGCTTTCTCTCTTCCCACAGCCAGGAACAGCACATGTGCCTCCAGTCCTTGTTCCAACGGTGGAACCTGTGTGGGAGGAGGAGACACCTTCACCTGCATCTGCAAAGAGGGCTGGGAAGGCCCCACCTGTGGCCAAAGTGAGTCTCTCCATGAAGCTTTGCATATAACCGACATAAAAGTCACCCTGCTCTTAGCTCATCATGTACTTATTATTCCTTTTAAGGCCCACGTGCCCAGTGTTTGTGATATGATGGAACATTTCTTTGTTTCTTAGCATGTTGATTATCTTGGTTTACTATATTTTATGAAGTGATGTTTCAAAGTCTCTTTCTGCGAGTGTAGCCAAGCACCAACACCTGCAATATTTAAGAGCTTTAAATGTCACAGTAACTCAAGTAAAATAAGCAAATGTGTGATTTATTCAAGGCTGCACATTGTGACAGTGGTATTTAATGAACCACTGATGGCGAGGGCTTCTCTGTAATGCTACAATGAGTATATAAGTTATAAACCAGCTCACATGGGATATGATATTTACATTAACTTTACAGTTTCTGAGCTTGTAATACAAGAGGAATTTGTGCCATCGTAAGATAACTTGGATATATTAACATGCCCTAGGGTTTTAGCAAAAAATGTAGGCAGCTAACATTAAAGTGTCACAAGTAGAACTTGTAGCTAAATATTCAATATTTTTATCTTCAAAAAAATCCGTACATTTTATTAATGCAATGGCAATTTACACACACGTGGCCCTCTAACAACGTAACGCTAAAAGTCTCCTTTTTGTTGTTCTTTTCTCCAGATATAAACGACTGCAACCCTCATCCATGGTATGTACAGTTTCCTGCCTCACTCACTCCTGTGGCATAGCCAAACTTTCCCCCGTCTCCCTCATCTCCACACTTCACACAGACCTTGCAGGCTGGAGGGGTAAAGGGCCGCTAAATGCAGTGGAAGTTGTCCTTAAATCAAGCCTCAAAGGAGCATCTCTCAGAGGAGGGGGTTTGGATATTGAATAGGACAGGGAGAGATGGAGAGAGGTTTTCTGAAGGGGGGCAAGAGTCCCACCTAGCCCATGGTGAATGCAGGTGGGGGGTTGAGTGGCGGGGGGGAGGGCGTTCGTGTCCATTCTTCTCATGCGACCTGGGGGTGAGACGGGCTTTGAGGAGGAATGGAAGGAGAGGGCATGATGAGGGGAGGGGAGGGACTGGACACGCCAATTAGCATCTGAAAGGTGGAGGCTTGTATTGATGAGTTGAATTGAGCCTTGTGACTGACCCCCCCCCCCCCCCCCCCCTCTCTCTCTCTCTCTCCACCGCCACATACACACACCCACACACAAAAACGATCTGCTTTGTTGCGGCTGGAAAGGATGTGGCTCTTATACTGCCTCATCTAATAGTTTATTTCTTTTTCTTTCCTCTCGCAGTTACAATGGTGGCATCTGTGTGGATGGAGTCAACTGGTTTCGGTGCGAGTGCGCTCCCGGATTCGCCGGACCAGACTGCCGAATCAGTGAGTAATGATATGAGGTTACTTTACCTGCTTTTTAGATGCAGAGCAAATATCCAAAACCCCCAACCAAAACATTTAAAATCAAAATCCTAAACCTCATTCATCATTCATAAGAGCCTAACATAGCCATGGCAACATGGTATGATTAAGAGGATGGATAGGTGGAGCAAGGAGAGACCGAAAGGAAAAGCGGGTGACAAGGAGGTGATGGACACATTGACACCTAAATGTAAGACCGGTACGCCGCCCTCTCCCTTTTTCTTGGTCCTCTAACGCCTCAGAGGTCAGAGGTCGTCCCTCCTCCGTACTCGCACAGTCACACAAACACACGGAAGACAAATTACTCAGTGACCCTGAAATTCTTCTTCTCTGCTCTTTTGTTTCGGGCCGGATAGCGTTCACCTTTTCTCTCAGGCTTGAATTTGAGAATTCTCATCCAGACTGTGTTCATGTGGAATCTGGATGACAATGGCTCGGGCTCTCTGTGATATTGGTGGGAAGGACCAATTGATATGTGTCGTTCAAAGCACTGCTCAAATTAGAGATGGGTCGGTGGTCAAACCTGTGCACAATTTACTCATTTATGAGAATAAACGTGGTCATTCAAAACGTACAATGCTGGGTTTATTCCAATAATTGGCTTTGTGATTTATTTTGCTTATTATTTTTGATTATTTTGACTGGCTGCTATTTACCCGACGGGACCACAAGATGAATCTGAATGGTCATGAGATGATTGACGGAATTGGTAATACGAGGAAAATAAAATACTGCCACACAATTTTGGTTTATTTTCTGCCTAAAATGGCAAAATTGTGCAGCAAAATCAGTTGATTCCATTGACATTGCTGTGATCAGTGGACTCACTGGCAGGGGTGAAGCACTTATTTCATCTTGAGTTCAACTTACGTGAAATTAGCACAGTTGACTACCGAGCTTCCTTGACGGTGTTAAACTTTAGCCAAGTTTGAGAGTCTCTTTTAAACTTCTGTCTG